GTCCCGCACCTTCCTGAGTAATCCGGCAGCTGACGGATCTCGCACCTCGAGGAAGTGCACGGGTGAAATTGGGGCGGAACCCGACCGGGCCAGCCCTGGTAGCAGAGAGCTTCAGCAATGCGGAGAAGCCGGGACCCGCCAGCAACACGGAGCAGACGCGGTGTGGGACCCGCCGACTCCCAGGTGCGCGCAGGAGACTGGCGCCACGCTAGCAGCTGGCGCCCCGAGATCCCTGTGCCCCCATAACAAAACAGCTCAAACATTCAATAGCTCATGAATGGATAATTTAAATCCTGAATATATACACCTGGAGATTTTATTCAGCTGTAAATATATATGAAATTTCCAGGTAAATACATAGAACTGGAAATTTTCTGTGTGAAGTAATCTAGACCCAGAAAGACAATGCTATATGTTTTCTTTCAGATGTGGAGCATATTTTTATGTGCATTTACTTGAAATACCTAAAGAGTACAGAAAGCTAGAAAGGGGCTATTGGGTGGGGAGATGCTTTAAGGGACAGTGTAGTAGGTGATATGAAAGTAGAGCGGGAATACTGGGGGTGGGGTGGTGCTGAAGTAAGAATGGAAGTGGAGGAATGGGAGAGAAGAGCTGGTAGGGATAGGGCTAACCAAAATGATGTATAAAAATGCTAGATGAAAACCACTATTCTGTAAGCGAATTCAAAATTTTAATTTTCAATGAGTTTGGATGGGAATAAAGGGGAAGAAGGAGCTCAAGAGAGGTGCTACCATAGGAGACTGGTATTATTGAGGGAGAAATGGGAAAAATGGGGATACTTTAAATGGGGAGAGCATAGAGGGAGGGTTAGACAGGGAGAGAGATGGGGGAGAGATAAGAGAGAGAAGGGGGGTGAGGAGAGATAAATAAGGCCTAGCTAAGTATAAAAAACCATTGGGAATCATATTAGTCCAAAAACCTACTGACAAATTATACATACAATATCTCTACTTGAGTCCATGTGTATAGCTGAAGGTTACATAATAAGAAAGAGTGTTAGACAGGAGAAACCTTCCTTTGAGTTGTTGGCCAGGGTGATCCAAGAGACTCCCAAAATTACATAGGTTATTGCTACAGCCCTTGATTGCCTTCTAGAACTTGAAAGTAAGACACTATTGTTGAAGACAGGGCATACTTCAGACATAGGATTTGGAGCAATGTAGCTGAAACTGGCCTAGAAGTCACTTCCCCTGAGGGCTATCTCTCATAGCTTTGGAGAGCACTGTGCAAGCTGCTAAGGGAGAACATCAACCAATAGTCCAACCCCAGCTTCAAAACATAATAAGCACATCAATGGCTGGCACAGCAAATGACACTGGTGCAGTAGTGGCACTTTTATCTTGGGGGTAATCAACAGCTATTTAATTAGACTTAAGGCCCACTCGAAGGGAGGAAACTCATATGTGTTGCTGTAAACATAGCCAAATACACATGGCTGGAGAGATCATAGATCTTAGAGAAAACCCCAAGGCGCTCACATCCCAGGAAAAATGTAATTTCTTACTATGTGCGAAATATGGATTGTTATATTTACACACAAGTATCCCAGTCAGAATTTATCAAAGAAACTTCTTTTTCAACAGATGGAGACTATCACAGAGTTCCACAACTGGTCACACACAGAGATTGTGAATTGCCCAAGCCTAAGTGGCACATCTGCAATGTAACCTCTATACCTAAGGCTCACAGAATATAGAACAAGGGGTAAAGAGGACACTAATGAATATTTCAATTCTCATCATTTAAGCTTCCTCCTGCAACAGAGGGCTAGGAACACAAAAGGTCACAGATGGCCAAAGCATAGAGAATAAGAGTCTGCAGAGTGTGGGTCCTCGGACAGGACTCCTGTATTAAATTCCACCCACTCAGGGTTCAGGAACCACTGTGGAAGAGGGGATGGAAAGACTGTAAGAGCCAGGGAGGAGGTGCACGACCATAAGGAAGTAGAGTCTTAGAGGCTTCTGTGACCTTGTGCATATGAACTTACAATATTGCTGATATCATGCACAAGACCCACACAAACTCAAGCAGACAAAACCCCAACAGAGAACTGTGGAAATGAACAGCAAGCCTCAATCTTAGTTGCAGAATTATTGGTAGCTGATTACTACTGGGTGAGGAAGAGCTGATCTTAAAGGGAGGGACTCTAGATAGGCTGACTAGACCTCAATGGATGAACTCACATTGAGGGACATCTGGGGACACTAACTTGACAAGATAGGCCTTAACACAAATGATGGAATGTATGAATTCCAGTGGGTGGCATTATGGGAGGGGTGAAGGGGATATAAAGATGATTAAGATTGATTAAGATTTTCTGTATGAAAACCAGAAAAAATTCAATAAAAATTTACAAAAAATTGAAGTTTGAAGGAAGAAACCTTACATAACTGGATTACATTGCTTCTGCAAGTCATGGGTTATTAAACCAAAATCCAAGTGCCAGTTAAGTGATACCTCCTTGTGAGTTGTTTGCCAGGGAGGACCCCAAAACAATACCAGCCCTTGTCATTCCTCTTGATTGCCCTTTAGACTTAGATTATAAGACCCTTTTGCTGAAGGTATCACACACTTTGGTTGCAAGATATATAGCGAGATCAAGCTGGAACTGATCTGGAAGTCCTCCTTGTTTCCTAGTTTCCATAGTGTTAGAAGAACACTTCCATAGTGTTCCAAGCTATGACAGTTGCTTGGAGAGAGAAGTCATCAATGGTCTTACTTATCTTACATTGTGAACTACAGTACCAATCTGCCAGGCATGACTATTGTTATGGTAACCAACCACTTTCTGGTGAAAGCTCTCCAAAGGCTGGTGAACGCCATTCATGTCTGGTGCAGCAAACCTGGTCAAATGCCCATAGCTAAGGATGTTACAAGCCCTAATGGGAAAGCTACTGCTGTTGTTTAACTAAAAAGATACATTACGCCCGTCTAATTGCCTTCTAAAGATTTATGTTTATACCTGTAGATTAGTGCTGCTCTAGTCAAAGAAGTTTCTTATTGCAGTGGGTGGTGGTTACTGCAGAGACCCATAACTGGGGTCAAAGAACTGGGAATATGTGACTGTTGATTTCTTAGCCACAAATGAAACATCTATATCAGCACTTTTAAGTCTCAGGGAACATCCAAGAAGATGGGGCAGAAAGAGTACAAAACAGGAGGAAGAGGCGGAGTGCTATGGAATACTGTCTACCAGGTGTGACATGGTATTTTCACTCTTGAACTCTCAGTCTCTATTACCTGCAGAACATCTGCACAAGGTTGGACCCATCAACACTGTCTTCATGTCGCTCATGAAGCCCAAAACTTCCCTGAGGGAACTAATGATTGCTGGAGTATGGAGAGATATTTTCTTGAGTTGTGTAGCAACTGGTTAAGTTTCCAATACTCCAATAAGAAAAAACCCTCACTGATGCTCATGTGTTCAATTACTGGCTTACCCAAAAGAAAGGACCAGTTGGGAAGAGGAAGAGAATTGGCAGGAGTTGGAGGGGGGAAAAGAGGGGGATGGGGCATGATAAAAATGCTTCATATATATAATATATATATGAACATGCCATAATGAAACAAATCATGTGTATAATTAATATATGATAATAAAATTTTCACGAGTAAATGCTTCTTAAAAAAAAGAAATATTAAGTTGTAGAAAAATGTGCAGTAATACGGAGGTAAGTTCTCTTCCAATCCTGTCAACTGTTACTGCCTCTGTTCCAACCCCAGTGAAGGATTCTGTGTCATGACAGGGAGAAAAGTGACCTCACTGCCCATCCATTCCCTGCTGTTGCTAAAATAATTCATTTTCTTTTCTGTGACCCAATTTGAATGGGATTCATCCAGTTGTAGGCAACCGCATGACAGCTGGAAATGTTTCTAGTTCATTATCTATGAGTTAAGGGTGGGATAGTTACTAGTAGACGCTCACTTCTATTACCTGGACTTTCATCTGCCCATCTGTGATCATACCTAGGACCTCTGGATGCTTCATCAGGAGCAAAAGTCCATATTTCATTGTGGTACTTGTTGTCTCTGTTCCTGCGCCAAAAATATCTGATGTGGTGGTGATCATATTTTCCATGGTAAATTCAGATTGCTTATTATGTTTTTCCTAGCAATGATGGATGAGAAAGAATTAGTTTTTTAAGGAAGAAAGCTTTATATATAACAATCTAATTCAATATAATATAAGCACTTTGTAAAGTAAGTCAGATCTTCAAGTATTATAACTAAAGTTGGATGTTGAATGGCTATCAGTATTCCTTCACACAATTAAAATACAATCAAAGTTACAAACTTCCAAGTCCTTTCTGATTACTCACTTTCTCACCCATGAAGAAATTCAGCTCCTCTGAGATCTCTTTCAAATGTAACTTGTATCACGTCCTTTACTGACACTTACCATTTGTTCTAGCATCTGTTGTATCTTTATCATGTCTACTTTTCTCATCCTGGTGTCCAGCACTGCACGTTTTTAAACTGCATCCCTAGTCATGACCTTTTCAGTCATTACACCCACCACCACAGCTCAACTAAATCTAGAAAACACAGGCTGGAGAGTTGGCTTAACAGTTAAGAGCACTGGCTGCTCTTGCAGAGGGTCTGGGTTCAGTTCTCAGCACCTACATGGCAGCTATATTAGCTGTCAATAATGCCATTTCCAGAGGATTGGATGCCCTCTTCTGATCTCTGCCAGCGTGGCACACGTGGTGCATTTACGTACATCAAGGCAAAGCAGTCATACCCATAAAATAAAAATAAATAAATCAAAAAATTAAAAAAGAAAACCTCTTCAAAGTTTAAATACACTTGATAACTACACTTAACATACCCTGGAAGTGGTTATCCTCTTCACTAATATAAGCCATGCTTTCAGTAAAGCCTACCTCAACTGTAAAGAATCTCAATAAAGATTATCCCTGTGCTCCCTAATTCATTACACTTGCCACTCATGAGTTTATTTTATATATAATGCCATGTTATTATCCTTCTTGAATGAGTGTGTATGTGTTTCAATTTGCCTCAAAGTAAAGAGCTATTCTTGTACATGATAAACAGAAGAACTTTGGTGATTGAGATGTGAGTCAGCAGTTAAGAGAACTGGCTGTTCTTGCAGAGGACCCAGGTTCAGTTCCCAGCACCCACATGGTGGCTAACAACCGTTATAACTTCAGTTCCAGGGGATCCGGCACCCTTTTCTGTCATCTGCAGTCATTGCATGATATGGGTGCACTCACATACATATAGGCAATACACTCATACACATGAAATTTAAAAAAAAAATAAATATTTTAAAAAATAGACAAATTTCTAATTCTAAGTAAACTGAGTATCTTAAAACCTCCCAAAATATACTATATGATTTTCTCAAGAAATAGATTCCACAAGCAATGAACATGTACCTAAGAAGTATTCATTTTAATATCCTGGTTTGACTGAGTAAAGAAAAGCTAAATCTGAGTCACATCACCACAAATTCGAAGTCGCAATTCAGGCTCACATTGTACCTTTTCCATTTTAATCAGGAAATAGTCAATAAAATCCCGAGGGTTATTGGGGTCCAGAGATTTTTGATGCTCTTTTATTTCTTCTAAAATAAACTGTTTTTGGATATTCGAATTTTTAAAGAATCTTCTATGACTTGCTGAGATATAATGTAAAACAGGGAAGGCATTGCACACCTGAAAGAGGAGCAAACTTTCATTAGCTCAAACAGTAAGCATTTACAGGCCATTATCAGCTGTCCAGCACTTTGCTGTGCACTGAGTAAATATGCCTCCTGCGTTCCCATATACCTGATGGACAAGCATGGACAAAACGAACAGAGCTGCTGCATACACAGGCTCAGCAGCAGCTTCAGAATCACATATGTTCGATTCCTGACCACAAATCTACAAAGGAGTTTGCGTTTATCTATTCTCTTTGCCCTCTTCAGAACACCGACATCCAGAATGGCTAGTCAACAATTTTCAGACACCAAGCTAGTGACAGCAGAGACAAAACCAGCCTTTATCACAGTTTACCCTTCACATATTCCACCAGCTGCCTAAAAACTCATCAGGGCGCCAACTCTTTTGCTGCAATGAAGAATCAGTGCATCAGAAGCTCAGTCTGGCATCTCAAATCCATTTCTATAGGTTCCTGCAGTAGCACCTCAAATCCCCCCAAAGCTCCTAATAGCCCAAATGGTGAAGCTGATCAAGAGCAAGGATGCTTTCCAGGAGGCCTTGTCTTAACAGGAGGGAAGTTTATAGTAGTGGACTTCTCAGCTTTGTGGTGTTGACCTTATAAAACAATCAAGCCCTTCTTTTACTCCCTCTCTGAATAATATTCCAATATGGTGTTCTTTGAAGTGGACACGAATAACAACCAGGGTGTTGTTGCAGACTGTGAAAGCAAATGCATACCAACTTTCCTGTTCTATAAAAACAGTCAAGGGAGGGGGGTGTGAATTTTTGGAGTTAACAAGGAAAATCTTGAGTCACTATTAATGAATTTTCCTAATCATGTCCTGAAAAATACGCCCAGCAGTGAGCAGTTTAAAATCTATTATTTGGGGTGTGGGGCTGGAGAGATGGCTCAGCAGTTAAGAGCATTCGTTGCTCTTACAGATGAGCCAGGTTGGGATCCCAGTATCAATATGAGAGCTCGCAACCATATATAACTCCAGTTCCAGGGGATTTGACATCATCTTCTGACCTCCTCAGGCACTGCATGCACATGGTACACTTACATACATGCAGGCAAAATACTCACACATGTAAAATAAAAATGAATACTACTTAAATGATTAATTAAAATTCTGTAATTTTCTAATCTTGGATAAGGTATGAAGTACGGAGATTCTAAACCCAACTACCATCCTATTCCAAATAACAATAAAATATTAATCATACCCCTTTTAAAAAATAAGAAAACATCAGAATGACCCAGGAAGTGTCCAAATCAGTTAGCACATTTGTGTTTAGGGATCAGATGCTCACAGGAGGGTCACACCTACCTGATTAATCTGGTCTTTCCTGGTTCTGGCTTTAAGTTGTACCTTAATAGTTACCAAAAAAAAAATGTACTTTTGCTGCTAGTATGAATCCAATTCAATATAGAATCATGAAATCTAGATTCTAGATCCTAGATCTAGGTCACTGACAGGGTTGGCTACAGTGCTTTGGAGAATGTGCTTCATAAGCCTGGTCACAGTATCCTGCTCCCCAAAATTAGGGGTGAACTATTGGATATCCAGTATCCTTGCCTTGTGGAACACATTGTGACATTTGTTGCCAGTGGTGTACAGCATGTTACTATTAGTGGTGTACAGCATAGGTTGGTTTAATGGTTGTACAGCATAGACTGCTAACATTATCTGATAGGGCACCACAGTAAGGAATGCATTCTATATCATGAAGATCTATATTCAGGCACAGGAAAAAAATCAGAAAAGTTTTTTTTTTCTCAAAAGAAATACCTTGATAAAATTGAAGGCATCTGATATTATGTTTTTCTTTTGATTTCATTTCACGTTATCATTTTCCTTAAGCCTTAAATGAATTTGATGTCTCACAAACAGGTTAGAAATGATAACAAATGATAATCTAGAAGATTATTATGTAAATAAGGGGAAAACTAAAAGCAATTGGTCTTCACGCACGGTTGTTGACTTTTTCTTTGTTCTTTATTTTGTCAGGTATCATTATGCACCCAGGTTGGCCTCAGTCTTTGCAGCCCAGGCTGCACCATCACACCCAGCAATTTAGCTGTCTCATTAAAGAAACATTGGGACTGGAGAGGTGGCTCAGAGGTTAAGAGCATTGGTTGCTCTTGTAGAGGATCTGTGTTTGGTAGAGATGTGAGGCAGCTTACCACCACCTGTAAATCCAGATCCAGGCGATCTAATAGCCTCTTCTGGACTCCGCAGGCACCTACACTCACACATGCACATACCCACTCAGATGAACACGTGTATGTGTAATTAAAAATAACATAAAATCTCAAAACATTAATATTAAAGAGGCACTTTAGCTCATATTTGTAATTTCAGCACTCAGGAGGCTAAATCGGGAAGATCATGAGTTTGAAGCTACCTTGGGCTATATGGTGAAACCTTATATAGAACAGTAACAACAAGAGCCTATTTTTGAAGTTACACTGCCTGCCAACATATTATTAATCTCCCACTGGCTATGTTATAGATGACACCTAACTGAAGACACATAACGGGTTGAAGCTTTCATCTGCAAAAGTTTCTCTTTGCTCTTCTTTCCTGTTCTGTGTTTTAATGATGACCTACATAGGAATTGGAACAGCAATATAGTTACACTAATTTTCTTACCCCACCTTTTCCTACGTTGACCTTGCACTGTAATTTCCCGTTTCTAGCTTTTCTTTTTTTCTACAGGGCTGTAAATTCTAAACAAAGTCCATGTATTTTACTTATTTGTGTAGTCATCAATTTATTTACTCATTTATTATTTCGAAGAAGATCTCACTATGTTGTAGTTCTGGGTGGCCTTGATCTTAAGATCCTCTTGCCTCAGACTCCCAAGTAACTGTGATAACACATTACACTGCGGCCCACAGATCAAAACCACATTAAAAGTCTGAAATAGCCGCTGATGTCAGATGTAAGGAAAAGGATGGGGAAAAATCAGTTTTCCATTTGTTCCAAGGCTTCCTAATCGATTTTATTTTTTGTTTTTCAGAATCAAGACTATCTCCTGATCTTCAGATCATATATGGGCCCAGGATTTCCTAATACTGTTCTTTACACGTATAGCTAGCAGAGAAAAATGTGTTTGGCTAAATTATTATGGAGATTACTCTAGGACATGTAAAGCAGTTTAGTGTAAGTATGTTCTGACAGAAAGAGGAGACTGGGAAGGAAGAATAGTGGTTGGGAACGAGAAGGCAAAGGAAGACAAAAGGAAAAGAGAAAGGAAAAGATCTTCCAAAGATGGAGATGTTGTCAGGATGTATAAGTTGGCACGCAGCCTTCTTACTGAGTACTACATGGCCCTCCTCTTCTCCCTACAAAAGACCGTTCACATACCCAAGTTCACTAAAACTGCCTCTTTCTGAGGCTGAAAGCTCTACCCATATCCTCTCAGGGTGCCATCCCTTCAATAAACCTGATTTCTTTCCTACGAATACAACCCGAGTATTAGTTTCTGTATAGCAGGGATACAGACAACCAAATTGTAATTTCACATGTAAATAGAACTAGACTTACCAGGGTCCAAGGAGCAGTTAAAACCTCAAGATTTTCATGAGACCTCTTAATCAAGGATTGGAACGTCTTATCATTGTAGTCAAAACGATGGTGAAAAATGAAGGAGCAGATCACGTTGCAAGGAACACAGGAAAGAAGGAAGCTTGGATCGCAGGGAGAGCCTAGAAGAGTGGAAGGTAGAAGCTAATACGTAATTCTCATACAGATCTTAATTTTACAAATGAAAACAATTGGGATTGGTGAACTACCTAGATAGTCTACCACCACTACAAACTTCACAGCGTAAAAGACACTTTGTTGTTTCCCCAAACTAAACTGTCTGACATGTTCCATCTATCTTGTTAATTTTCCCAAAAATATTCTCCTCTTTTCACTAAGCTCCCAAAGTCCTCATTTAGAATAGAAAGAAAATGCAAAAAGATAGATCATTTAAAAATATCCATAAATGTGTGCAATTTAAGACTAAGTGTATGCATGTTTCAATTTGAACATCCAGAGAAGTCAGGAAACTAACAAATAGTCACAAGGGGTCCGGGGGGGGGTAGTTTCCTAGGAATATTTTGCTTATTTTTTTGTGTATGAGTGTATTGCCTGTATGTATCTTACTGCATCTGTGTCATGCAATGCCAGTGGGGGTTAGAAGATGGCACTGGAACCCCTGGAACTGGAATTACAAATGGTTGTTAGCTGCCATGTGGGTGCTAAGAACTGAACCCGGGACCTCTGGAGGAGCAGTCAATGTTCTTATTCACTGAATCATCTCTCCAACCCCTTACAGGACTTTCCTAAAGTATATACATATACACCATAAAGAGTTTTAAAGGAGTTGCTTTATAACAGAGAGACATTGCCCCTTCTAGGCACCATAGACTAACCAAATAAAACCTCACTACCAAGAATGGACTCACTGTCTAGAAGCTGTTGGCCAGGGGTCCCATAGACCCTCAGACAATATTGACCTTTGCCCCTGCTCTTGGTTCCCTGTGAGAACCTGATGGTAAGACCTTGTTGCTGAAGACACTACGTACATGAGCTATAGAACGAGAAATCAAGCTGGTGCTGACTTCAGAGCCTCATCTCTCCTGGCTAGTTTTAATAGCTCTGGAAGTTGATATGCATGCTAACTGAAGAGAAAATTAATCATCACCTTTACCCAGAAGTGAATCCTATGAACTATAACAACTGGCCTGGCAAGATATTCCCACTGGTGCAATAGTGGCACAAATACTATGGGAGAAACTAACCTTAATAACTAATCTAAGTGGATTTAAGGTCTGCTTCCTTGGATGGAGCCCACCTGACATTGATATCAGACTTAGGAACCTGAGGCTAGACACGTCACAGGTCATAAGGGAGAGTCTAATATTAGTTTTCTGCTCAATAGATACAGTGTTAAACTGATTCCTAATGACTTAGTGCTATATCCATAGATTAATGCATCTATCAATTCTCAGCAGAGAAATTTCCTTGTGCTGCATCATATGGTGATTAGCACAGAAACCCACACTGGCCAATGCACGGAGAACAAGAGTCTTCAGATTGCTTATCCCTGAATAGGATACTTATAATCAAACTTCTGCCTCCCAAGGCTCAGGGATCATTGTGGAAGAGGGAGGCAGAAAGATTGTAAACATCAGAGGTAGTGGATGATCACAAGGAAACAGTTTTGCAGATAGCTGGTCAGTTACTCATATGAACTCATGGCAACTATGTCAGAATGCACAAGTCCCATACACACTCAAACCAGACAAAATCCCAGCACAGATATTGGGAAGTGCACAAGAAATCCCAGTCTAACCTAGGAAATTTTGGCAACCAATGGCTGCTGGGAGGGGGTAGAAAGATAGTCTCTTTCAAGGCTGTGACTCTTGGTGGGTTAACCAGTCTTCAGTGGATAAACCCACACTGAAGGACATTTGGGGACACAAATTAGACTCTATAGGCTCTCTGTATATAATAGAGCACATTAAATTGGGTGGGGGGGGCAGTAAAGGGAGATGCAGATAGGGGAGAGGATCTAAGTACCATAAAATTATATTGTATGAAAATTGTAAAAATTCAATAAAAAAGATAAATAAATGTTAAATATATACCCAAAAGACTAAGTGTAGGTATTTCCTCATAGTGCCCATACAACTTTTAGCAACTTAATTTTTATTTTATTCTTTAAATGTATACATTCCATGGAGAGTTAATAGTCCTATGGTAGTTTATGATCAATGTTATTTATTTATTAAAATATTTTTTATTGAGTTGAAACTTCTCAGATCCTGCTAGGTGCATGACATCTACACCCCACCTTTGTGCAGTTATAGCTAACACACTACAACCCCGGGGGCAAACAAGCAGTCAGATCAAAAGTGACAGTTACAAGGACAGTAGATCTACCCAATCTGTGATTGGAACGTCCAGCAGTGGTGAAATGGCATCAAGAGTGTGAGAGCCCTACTGAGAGGTGGAATGAAGCTAGTGTGGGTGAAAATGGGTCAGAAGATGAGAAAAAGCCATAATCACTATGGGAAATTGGAACCAGATAATAGAATGCTTCATTTGAAATACAAATGAAATTACAAAATGACTTATATATAAAGCCCAACACAATGCTTTAATTCAAATTTCAAAATTTTGTTCTAAGAAGTTGACAATGATTTTCAGAGATCGTCCTTTTTGAGTCTGGGTCTCCCTGTAGCTCAGCTGGCCTGGAACTCACTATATAGACCAGGCTAGCCTTGAATTCACAGAGATCTGCCTGTCTCTGCCTCCTTAACATCATAGACTGGAAACAACCAATCAATCAAGAACAGAAGATTGATTGAATAAACTATACTGCATTTAAATCAATGCAGTACTATACTACTGAGCTACCAACCTTCTGAAGAACGCTTCACAAGAAACACACAAAGATGATCACCATAGTCCATCTGAAAATAAGCTCATAAAACAACATGTATAGTACATGCTCCATGTTCTTGTCCATTTTGCCACATACCTTGGTTCATTGACACATTTAGTTCATTTCCAAAATTTATCCTAAGATGAACCAGATTATATAAATACTACTTGTAATAATTATATATATATA